GAGGCGGGCAGGCCTGGGTGGGACTGGGAAGATGGTGGATGCTGATGGCCGGCTCTGTGTGCGGGCACTGTGCTGGGGCCATGGGTGCGGTGTCCCGCCTGGCACCTCGGAAGGCCCGGGGACACTTGTGGAGTGTGGCAGCCTTTGTCCCTGACACTGTCTCGGGGAAGTCCACAATCCATCTCCTGCATTGGGGACAAGCTTTACTCTCCCCAAATGCCTCTGATTGCCAGGGTCAGGTATGGAAACTTTCACCCATGGTACTGTCCCTGGCACCCAGCTCTGGTAATGTCGCCATGTTTGAAGCGCAGGGGCCGGCCGCACTAATAATGCCCATAACGTAACGCATGGCCCTGACGCATCTTATAAAACTGATTTACAAGACCGGTGCGCTCCTTTTGGCTACCTTCACACTGTTCTGCTGTGGTAACGCACACACGATGATGCATGTTCTTCCACTTGCTAATATGCACTGCCATAAGTCTGCCCACCACACCAACTCTTTAAAAAAATGTGCGTGTACTTTATAACAGTGCATCAGAACGCACGCATTATGCCCACGCTCACCTGTGTTTAGTTGTGGTGGGTAAACAAAATCAAAACGCACGTTATAAACAGTTCAATAGTAACGCATATCAAATGCAATAGAGCACCACACTGCATTGTGCCCGGCGGCACATGTCTCTTAGCAAGGTGCGTCGTGGTGCCATGAAGAATGAATGTGTCGCATTGCACAATACCGCAGCGCAACAGTGTGACCTGAGACTCGTATAAAATGCTTTAAAGTGATTATACATGTCGTGTTCTTTCACATGCATTCTACAGGGTGAAACAAAAACAATATGTTCTTTAACATGCATCCTACAGGGCAGAAATAGTACAGCGTGTTTTTTTACATGTATCCTACAGGGCAAAAATAGTATAGCGTGTCCTTTCACATGTATCCTACAGGACAGAAATAGTATAGCGTACTATTTCACATGTATCCTACAGGGTGACAATAGTATAGCGTGTTCTTTTACATGTATCCTACAGGGTGACAATAGTATAGCGTGTTCTTTTACATGTATCCTACAGGGTGACAATAGTATAGCGTGTTCTTTTACATGTATCCTACAGGGTGACAATAGT